GAAATGCTAATCATCCGGTATTTATGATCAGCGGTTTAGTGCACGTGAAAGAACGGGAGGACAGGCTGTCTGTCCCATTGTACTGCCATTCACTCACTCCCCTGTTGCTTCCCTCACAGCGCAGGCCAGCCTATTGCGGTAAACATTAGCCCCTGGCACTGCTGCTGAAATATTAAAGCATCTGGAGGAGGGTGTGCGCGCACAGGTAGGCGTGCAGCTGCCGCTCTCCTCTGATGACACGTGGAGGATTAATCAGAGCAATGCGCGCGCTTCGGCAGAAGAGCTAAGTGTTAGGAACATCGCTGGTCTCATTGGCTACTTGGAGAGAGCGAGAGGTGGGGGGGAGGACTATTTAAAAAAAAAAAAAAAAAAAAAAAGGTCCGCAGGATGACCAGCCCCGCGTGCCGTGCGTGAATAAACACATACAGGTCCGAAGCTGTAAACAGTTAAACAAAAAAAAAGAAGAAGAAGAAAGAAAAGAAAGGAAAACAGAAAAAGAAGAAAAGGGGAAAAAAACCTTAGAGCGTGAGGGCTCGGCGGAAACTGGAAAACTTAGGCGCTGTCCATGGTGCTGAATTTGAATAGCCCCTCGCCGTCCCCTTGGGCCGTGGGGGGACCGGCGACCCCGCTGTGAAGCATCACATTGTTCGGCGACCTGCTCGTACCTGAGCTCACCGGATGATCGATGATCCGGAGGTCGGTGGTGATGGTGTACGATTTCAACCGGCAGCTTTAGAAGGATAGCAGACTCGGTCTCGGTTCGCACGGGAGCATGGATGAAGGACTTGTGGGATTAAAAGCCCGAATGAAGACAACATGTCTCTGAGGAGGCGGCTCGCTACGTACTTTCACAGGTTATCTGTTTACTGACCAGATCGAGCCCGATTCAGCCAGAAGCAGCAGGAGGAGCAGGAGTCTCATTCACTCATCCCTCCATTCATGAGAGGAATTTCAACACGTTGCAAAAAAGATGAACTGCTGTAATTTAGTAACCCTTCAATAATAGGAGATTTGCATTAAAAAAATATATTAACATTAATCTAAGAAGAGCAAATACATCCACCAAGGCATGGCTCGTCTTCTTGTTTTTGTCAACTCCGTGGTCCTGTTGCTTTTTGGCAGCGATGTGTTCTTGGTGGGAGCAAGTAAGTATGAGCCTCTCAAGCAGACTCAAATTAATTATTGTGCCTTTTTGTAGTCTTGTAAAATGCGCCATTACTCAAACTATTACAGCCCTTTGGAAGGGTTTACGCACCTCAATCCCACAACTCATTCATATACATCAAATACGTGCTAAAATACGATTATGCCGTTGCATCCAGCTTATAACACCTGTTTAACCTGCTGTATGATCTGGGCCTTACATTATCACTATTCTTATCTTATTTACTATCTCTAAATCACTAATAAAACCAGATGTAGTGTTTTCAGTGTTTTAAATATACCTTTTGGTGTTTTGAATAGCCTGATTACAGATAAACAAAAATCAAACCAAAAACTATTTTAACAAGTCTATCAAAAGAGCACATTCTTGTTTCCCCTCTACTCAATTTAAAGGTAATATTATGTGCAATTCTACTAAAGACAATTCAGTTTAAGCCCGTTTTAGTTAGACATCCAAATCCATACATTTAATTTCACTACAACAACACTAGTTGCAGAGCCAATGGCGCCTTAAGTTCAATGCAGCAAAGAGACAGATCACCAGTGCATAAACTGTGGTTTATTTGCATTCTTTCCATTGCGAGGTCCGCTTCAGGCTTAAAATGTGTGAATCCTTGCTATTTCTGCCACAGAAGTCTCCTGAGCCTCTGCGCGCATGCATCTACAGTATCTCTGTCTCTTTATCTGTCTACCTCTATCACTTTCCCCCTCGCCTCTCAAGGGAACTGAGTCCTACATGTGATAGCGCCTTGAGAGAATCAGATTGGCACTTCACGGTTTCTGTGGGTGGGTGTGCTCTGTCTGCCTCAGACACCTATTCAGAGCTTCTTTTTTTTTTTTCGAATGTTTTGTGGCTGACATGTGACGCAAAAAGGCATCTCTGATCTCTGTGGAGTTTGCCCAGAGCTGAAGCTTGTCACTGCTGAACACATAAATGTTACACTCACAGATACAAATGTGGCGGCTGCTCTGAGGTTTAAAGTAAATTGAAATAAATGTTGGATTCATTGCCGCCAGTCCAGACTAAGCTAGGAGAGTGCTGGATTCAAAGTCATTTAGAAGAAGGTGTGACTTAATTTTATGATAATTCGGTGCATGGTGAGGGTATGGAAAAGGATCATTTTAAGTCACTTGGAAGTGCAAATGAAAATGTGTATTTATGGCAAATGTTAGTGTAATACAAAGGTTCTGAAATTAATTTTTCCTTCATTTTCATGTCGTATTTCATCTGGGCCAACAGCTTTTTCTGCAGCTTGTTAAAAACCGGTCTTGAAAGTAACGCATTAAACTCATCACTGCTCTTCCAATTTTTGAGAAAATTCCAGCACTTTCCAGACAAAACCAAAAGTGAGATGCAGTTCTTCCTTAAATCAACAGTACAAGCATCCGCACTCAATTTCTGTCATTCTAGGTGATATAAAAGACTTGAATACTAGTACCTACTTTAACATTCACACACAAGCTAAAAGCAAGCACATTAGGAAATAGATCCCACGTGAGGCCGGAGCGTCAGACACTAAACAAATGTAAATGAAAACTTATTGGATTTACTGGCTTGCCGGGCTCATATCATCCTTCAAATTGGCAATATGCTGTTCATAAACCTGGTGACATATTCATGACAAATAGATGTTCTCAGTTACAGATGAATTCATTAGAATGAAAGCCAATATTTGCCCATCTTGGCATAATTATCTGCCGTGACACGGTATATATTTTAAACAGACACACACACATAACGGGGGGGAAACGCAAGGTAGATTTTCAACGGGTTTTTGTGTGTCACTCTTGTCTTGTTCAGATGTCTGCAAAAACCAGTAAACACCCACTGTTGGTGCACATTACACTTTGAGGTGGATAAAGTGATGTCAGCTTGAAACTGAAAAGGCTCAAGGTTGGGCCAGTGATTATATTAACCTTAGAGCGGTGCCGTGTCCCATCTGGTCTCACTGCCATCTCACAGCCTCTGGATCTGCGAGTAATAACACAGAGGGTACCTACAGTAAGGAAAGGGGCGCTAAGTGGTACTACAGTCAAGGGGATCTGAATTGAGGAGGAAAAGGCGCAGGAGCTAGCCAGGCCCGTTTACACACATAACCACTTCACACTGCTGTTGCAAAACTAGATGGAGAAGTGGATTGAAGTGAGAGACTTAAAATCACATCAAATCACTGCTCCTGCATGACATCATGTATGAAAGAAGAGAGTCTCAGAAAGGAGAGGATTGAGAGTGAAACAAGGGGGGGAAAGGCATTCGCAGGTAATACAGGGATGCAATAAAAGCAGCACAGCACTGCTTAAAAGCTCGATAGCAGGCAATTTACAAGCAGATGTGTGACAACCTCCTGTTGTGCAGAGGAGAACATTTAGACTTCCCATGACTGACTCTGAAATATGTCCTGATGAAGCCATTTGAAGATTGACTGGGCAACACGTCAAAATCTGAGGCTCAGTTCTTCCCTTTATTTATGTCAGCGAGAGTTTAATTTTACGAGGGAGGTTGACATTATAAGTATTAGATAAGGATTAAACTATAAGTAGTCCTTCAAACTGTCACTGTCTTAGAGGTAATTGAAATCTGACTAATAATAAAGGAACATTTAAAAAAAAGCCATTGTTCTGCCTTTAAATGTATTTTTACCAGTAAACACATCAGTCCCCCTGGACCGTTTATGCCCTCTTAACTAAACACAAATTCATGTTAGGCAGCTTTTAAAGTAGCAGCAGCATCAGTGTAGACGTTTACATAGAAAGACTGCAGAAAACAACAATTCAGTTCAATTGAATTCATTAAAAAAAATGTGGGAAGAATGGAAAGCCACCATAAAATAGGTCAGATATTGTGATATCCAGCTGTAGCAGATTTTTTTTATATATGGTCATTTCATGAACCTTTTACAAAATAACATTAATAGATTTAGAAAATCTCTACACATGGGGAACAAAGCTGAATATCTGCAATGAGCGGCAGTGATCTTCAGGCACTCAGACAGTCTGTTGAAAGCAGTTATAACTCTGTAGTGGACATCACTGCATGGGCACAGAAACACTTCCAAAAACACACGCGATCACTACCCAATTCATCTATTCATCAAAAAATGGAAGTTAAAACTCTTGTGTGTGAAGAAAATCAGATATAAAAAAAGATCAGAAAAACGGTCCAGTGTAGGAGCTCATTTAAATTTAGGTGAAATTAGGTTTGAATTTGTTTACATTCTTTTTCGAGCTAAAGCGGAGAGAGCATCAGTCTTATCAGAACACTTGGAGGACCACGCCTTCAAACACGGCCCCTCTGGGTCTTTTCTTTTATATATGACCCCCCCAAGCTGTTTGTTCTCATTTTTGTGCCCCACCCTTCTCATTAGTACATGGGGATCTGCCAGGCCCGGGAGCCGCCTCCAGTCCCCATCGAGGTCTTCCCCGAACGGCAGCTCAATTCTTGATTAAGCCATTCACCTTTATCTACTAAAAAATGCTGCCCAACCTAAAATAAGGCCCAGCTAGTGAAAGTATGTAAGATAGCATCCATGACTGTGTTGATGCCATAGATAACTTAACTGACGCTCAAGTTATCAATGAAGGAACCATTAATGTTGAGTGGCACAAAAAGATTTTGAAGCAACACAACACAAAGCAACACAACCAGACAACTCTTTTTTTCTCCAGGGAAAGCGTTGCTTATTTCAGCAAAACAACAACAAATCTCATTTTGCACACATTCAATCACAGCGCTGTGATAAGACAGTCTGGGGTCTGACCGGGGACAGACCTACAAAATGCTGTTGAGGAGATGAAATCCCTTTTCAAGGCATAATAGGATAATGTCTTATTCCCAGCCTTAAAAATTCCCGTATTCCAAATATTGTTTTGTGTTGGCAGACTCAAATCTTAAGATTTGAACTATAAAATGTTTTAATTTCAACATTTAATATTTTGTCTTTGTACTAATTTCACATAAAGATGCAGTTTAAAATACTTTCAAATCACTGAATTTTGTTTTTATTTTCATTTTTCAAGTAAAAGCATAATCTCTCATTTTCCACTTCCAAATTCCTGTTTAACCATCGTGTCATGCTAATGCATTGCTGGGATAAAAAGCATCATAAGGTGTCTTCTTACAGTAAATCTGAACTTTTATTTTCTGACCATAAAACATCTCCAATCAGTCTTATGGTGTAAAGCATGAGCAGCCAATAAGAAAACAGGCAGTTCTGCTTCGCAAGCAAACATAGAGGTCAAAATAAGAGATGCCGCCCCTTTATCTGGCTCCGATAAACTCAACCTGGGCTCATTTCCACACGGCTCATCAGCCATTCAAAGATCCACCAGCCTTTTCTCCATGTCTGTGTGTGCACTCTGGTTAGATGGGGCACTAGCTAATGTGCTCTGCTTTGGCTATAAGCTATGATTCATCCTGGCAGTGCTCCCACATCCCGAGAGGGATGTACCTATTGCCTTTTTATTTCAGATCTTACATAATGCATTCCGTTGAGTGGGGCTTACCCCAGCCACATGGCAGATAACAAGTACTGAAGTCTCTGCCATGACAATCATTACTGCAGTGGAGAACATCAAAGAAGCTAGAGGGGATCATTTGAACTTCTGGGCAGCACATTAAACACAATGCTGTCTAATAAGCCAGCTGTGATTCAGTTTTATAAATGTAAGCGCCTTTTGTTTATTTAGTCCTTCATATGATTGAATAGCAGTTTTCAGCAAATCCTTCATTTATAATGCCTCATGCTTCAGATTTAAATATGCGCGTCCCAGTCAAATTTGCAAGTAATGGATACGGCACCTTATAGGAAGCGGGCTTTCAGGTAGTGCATTACATTAGCAATGATTCAAAGCCTGATTGCCCTTTACTGTCGCGTGCTCCATCATCACCAAATGATCCGCAGATAGAGCATCATGGTTACGAGCTGTTTCTTTACCCATGCGTGACTTCGTGTGACCCTCGTTACCTAAAGGACAATGAGCTAAAGAGAAATGAACACGTCCCATCTGGGATGAATGCTGCTCCCTGCTTCTGGAGAAGGCTCACTTTAGGGCACGTGCTGATGGCAATGAAGCCTTAATGGTCTGTCGCTCTGTTAACAGCAGAGTGAAGTGTGACCTCGCTAAACAACGAGCACGGGTAACTCTGCTGCAACAACAACTGAAGCTTCTGTGGAGCTTTTTTAAAAAGGCGCCATTACTGTCAGTCAGTCCCAGGATGTTGGGATTTAATTTGAGTGATGAAAGATTTGAGCATAAACATGACATATTCGCAGTCAGAAGACAATTAAACACTGTCACAACAGAAGGTCGTGTGACCCATGATTGTACATATATATATCTACAACGTCCTAAAAGATTTCCAAAGTTCAAAGAAAATCAAAAACTATACAAGACTTTCTGTCAGTCTTAACACTGCATAGCGCCTTCTTACATAAAGTTGTTCTCATTACATGGACAAAATGAGGCAGATATAACCTCCAAACCTCTTAATGCCTGTGTAAACCCCCCCCCC